CAATCAATAAGTGCAGGTGCTATATGCATGTTGGAGCCTACAAGCGTCGCTATCTGAGCGACCAAGCCTGGCGACCAGGTCATCCAGAGAACTAGCGACCAAGCTGTAGGACTTTGTAAAACTTTGTTATCATGATCAACACATTTGCTTTTGCTGCTGTAATCCGACCAAGCGCACCTGCGCTTTCAAAGGGTCGCACGATGTGGCGTTAGTCCAAGGGGTTCAACCAACCTAGGAATTACTGCCGCCAATAAACTTTCAGTTCTCCATCCATGGCCTTCACACATACAATCATCTTGTCACTAATTCGCCCAACTTGTACACAATCTTATGGCGAACAAAGTCAATGATCACCACCCACAATACGACTTGAACATCAAGACAATTTGTCAGAGAAAAAGGGACGGAACGCTATCCTGTAAAGTACACACTACGACATCGGGGCCGATATCGTACCAAACACTTCAAGAACGCCCCTTATCTCGATCGCCGAGATAGAACCAAGTTTCACTCCAACCCTAGCGACACGGCTGTGTGTCCACTCCATTTTACATATGCATGTCTTCGCGGCTCTCGAGACGGTCAACTATCCACTGCAGAACTAAGCTCGTATGTGCATGACCACCACCATCCCTCACGTTCTCTTAGCAGCATCGGTTCCCGGAGTCGTCTCCGCACGTCCCAGATACGGCAAACCTTATAAGCGACCTCGCTCACTACTTCAACTTCCACCAGCCTCACGGCCTTTCCCAAGCGACAGGAACGTTTCTAAGCGCCATCCCTTCTTCTGTCATGTTTGAAGACGCTCATTGTAAGCCAGACGGTAGAGTTTACGGCTTTTGCACAGATTTCTGAGTGCAAGTTTGCCGAACCTTTGAATCTCAAAGGGCGATTTCGGCCATCATCCTCCGCTGCGGATCGTTAAGATGCAGGACGGGCTCGGTCCGTTACCGGGCTAATCATGCGCCACGGTCTGCACCTTGGCCCAGTAAAGGAAGGAGATGACTACCCCTTCTCCCCAGTTGTGGCTTGCTTCAGACATGCCTTACAACTTTTCACGCCGACTATACAGATGATCGGCATTGTTGTTTCTGGGGAACGAAAGCTCTACAAATGATCAGTACGATTCCAAGCGTAATGACGTGTGAATAGGATGATCGAGATCAGACGCTGGAAAAACCCGATTGTAAGGTAGGTAAGCGATCATTCAGGAGCCGTCGTAAACCTTGTCGGCATGACCGAGCGTCGAAAAGCGGCATGTCGTGAGTGAGCTTGTTGGCGCGTCGCTTGCGCAATAACGGGGCAGGTGGAGGTTACGAATAGGATGGGCATGGATCGATAGATGTCTTGAGTCGTGCCTGGATCTGTTTACGTATGAGTGCAGTTGTGCTAACCTAAATGCTGATACAAAGCGGGAAGCTGCTGTCGCCTGTCGCCATGCCGTAAGTGTGGTTGGGAGAGAGAGAAAGCGTCAGAGGAGTACCAAGCGGGGGTATATTGGCTGGCCTTAAACCGTAATTTGTCAACAAATTGAAGATCTAGACGTTGGGTTGGCATCCATACTAAGGGCTCAGATACTGGAGTGAAAGTCGTTTACTCCATCGTCAGTATTAGTCTTATGCAGGTGTGTAAATACTTGATCAGGATGTACGATGGTAAACGAAGATCTCATCTCTAGGCCTAAAGAGACAAGATGCCACCAGCAGAGACAATTGGATGTGATGAAACGTGAATATACTAATAGAAAGGACGTGATCATGAACCCGAAGACAACTAGCTCTACGGTCCAAGGGAAACCGCTGTTCCCATTTTCGTGCCTTGAACGCCTAGTGACCCAACCCAGGGGATAGCCTCTCTAAGCCTCATACCAGACTCAATCGTACCTTTCTCTTTCCAGTGCTTTCTTCAAGCTCGTCGGTGATCCTGACGGTTACCTTCTCGAACAGTTCGATAGTCCTCTTAACATCGCCCTTGATACTCAGCACATAGTTCTCGGCGTCAAAGTCAGCCTCCGGCTCTGGTGTAGCAAGATCCCTCAATCGAATGAGACTCTCGATACCAAATCTCGGTACAAAAACAACGAAGCCGTTGGAGAAAATCTTCATAATAAAGCCTTCTTCGTTGATATCCTTGCCCTTGAGCGCCTGGCCGACGTAATACTCAATGGAAGCGCGACCGGCCATCTGTGCATTGCGATGGCGCACGTTGATGTTCTTGCATACAGCTTCCAGCTTGGCCTTTGACTGTAGGCTAGGGTCCAATTGCTCGTACTCGATAGCAGCAGCAAGTTGGCGATGTGCTTCGAGATCAGCATAGCGACGGATGGGGGATGTGAAGTGAGTGTAGATCTCGCTAGCAAGACCATAATGCCTGAATTCGGGATACGCTTGAGTTCCGGCGCAGAAATACTCAGCAGACATCATGCAACGTGTTGCCATAATCCTGACGAGAGTGTTGAAGAATGGGTCGTTGGGATCAACACACTTGTCAAGTGAATCAGCCAAAGCTTTCGAGCTATCAGTCTTGAGCTCCATTCCCTTCTTGACCTTGAGCTGGTTATCCAGCTCTTCGAAATTCGTCTTGGGAGGGGCAGCGTGGCGACGGAGCAAAGCCGTTTGTGGAAAGGCTTCGTAGTTTTTTGCGGCAACACTAATGTTGGCGAGCAACATAAACTCCTCCACGAGCGAATTGGTGTCAAGATGCTTCTTTGTTTGGACGTCTGCTGGGTCTGAAGTTTCAGATTCGGTTCGGACCTTTACTTCTGGTGAAGATAGGTTCAATGCTCCGGCGTCCATTCGCTTTTGCTTCAGCTTCTTGGAGAGCATGAGCAGCGTCCGCATACCGTTCGTAAGATCATCCTGCTGTGATTTATCGTCTATCCGGATTTGGGCTTGTTCGTAGCTGAATGCTTCTCTTGAACGAATGACAGACTTGGTGAAATACGAAGAAACGATGTCGGCGTCCTCAGTGACCTCCCAAATTACAGAGAAAGCGTAGCGCTCGACATATGGCTTCAGGGAACATAGATCTGTTCCAAGAAGCATAGGCAACATGTCAATGCGCTTGTCAACCAGGTAAACGGTCGTTCCACGTTGGCTGGCTTCCTTGTCCATCGCATTGTTCGGTTTGACGAAATGAGATACGTCTGCAATATGAACACCGACCTGGTAGTTACCGTTCGGTAACTTGTGAGCATGGAGAGCATCATCGATGTCAACACAACCAACAGGGTCGATAGAGCATACCAAGAGGTCGCGAAGATCTTTACGCCCCTTCCAGCCCGGATCCTCCAAGCTAGCTGGTACCTTCCAATCATGGCCTTCAGCGGGTAAGCAATCAAGAACCGTTTTGGGGAAAGGCTTGTATTGAACGTCCCACTCCAGTAGTAAAGCCTCAGTCTCTGCGCCCTTAGATTCAAGTTCGCCAAGCGATCGTACAAAATGGCCAACCGGATATCGAGAATCTTTATCCCAAGAGTCGATCGTTGCCAGAACACGTTGACCAAGAAGCTCTCCAGCTTGTCGTGTTCGTATCCGAATTTTAGGTATGCGCTTGTCCATCGGAACGAGGAATACGGTCTGTTGCTGTCGACTCGATTTTGAAGAAGAGCGAACAGAGTCGCGATCGATGTGGCCGACGTATTGTCTCCAGTTTCGCTTAATGACACCTACTACACGCGCAGTCGGCTGCGGCCTGCCTTCCGTGCTTTGTCCATGAACACGCTTAACTTCCTCTTGTAACGCTCGTCGTTCTCGTTCTGGAATGACATTCTCGCCTTCTTCAGCCTCTGCGTTATCGTTCTTGTTCACTGTCTCCTCTTCAATGATCTTGGTTGAAGGCGCCTTCCACTGATCCTGAGGCAGTACCTCAACAACTACTACGTCGCCAGAGACAGCGCGGTTGCTGTTCTCACGTCCTAGAATAAGGAGAGATTTATCGAAAGCAGGTACGTGGACTGAGCCTTCTAGGTAGTTATACGGTGAGACGTTGAAGATGCCCTGGTGTAAAGTGCCAGCTTTTACACCAGTCATCATCTTAGAAACTGTATAATGTTCCGAATAGAAGATCTCTGGCTTTTTCGACCTGACTTCTCGTTGCTCTTGCGCTGCGCTGATCATGTCTAGGAGCTCGTCCGAATTTTCCAAGCCAGATACAAACTCTGACAAAGTCTTGCCTGGAACCTTCTCGGATATAGCTTTGCGCAAGTTGTCCCTGTCATCGGTGATCATAACAACCGTAGGTACCCGCGTCTGCGTTTTGCTCCGCGCTTTAACAGCTTGTGTGATATGGCCATTATACCATTGCACGGCTTTGCGAACAGCCCGGTCGTTTCGGTCATTGATGGTCTCTCCAGCTTCCCGCGCCACGTACGTCTCTTGCCTGAATTCGTTGAAGAACACGTAGAAGCGCTTTCCTTCGTTCTTAGTCAGGGATATCAGACGATGATATAGAGGAAGTGAGCGGTTCTTGACCTCCTCTAGTACAGTTTGGAGGACAATAACATCATGGAATGCGGTCTCAACTTCGAATAAGTCCATGCCAGTAAGAAAAGCATTTGTGTCCGGGATAAGATATTGGCCATTTGGGAAGTCCTTGGATCCTGCCGGTGTGTCTGAAAGGACAAATGGGGCGACTGACAAAGGTTAGTCTAATTCTGCACGTGAGGTTTTGCGACGGAACCTTTCTTGGAATAGTCCGTGGGCGCAATCTCTAGACATGCTCTGCAAAGATTGGACGAGCATGGAATGTCCTGTCGTAGATACAACTCTCTGACAATTTTCTGAACCTTGCCACTTTTGGTAGACCGCACGTAGACCTTGCTGGACAGGTTGGTTTCACCACGATCGGCAGCTGTCGACCGCTTCAGACTGAAGTACTCCATGTTTGGGGCAAGGTGTGTTGGTTGATGAGCGACGAAGGCGCGTGGTGTTGGTGTCTGGGAAAGATTGGTCGATGCCAAGATATCAAAAGATCCTAGCTCCGCTACCTAGCTCCGCACCATGACGGAGCTCCCAGGTGGGCCCTCACAGCGACCAACATCACCTGGACGGAGCTCCAATACCACGACTCCAGGCACCGAAGCCGCTCTATCGCTCATATCCTGTCCCTCTGACACGGCCATCGCAATGTCTTCGCTAGATCCGCCGACATACCTCACCTCGATCCAGAACAACATCCGCGCGCGGCCCATATCATGGGAAGGAGCTGTGCGAGCTAAGACCATCACCGACGAAGACCTCAAGAAGATTAAATCAATCGATAAAGTGCGCAAGGAACAGAGGAAACAGACCATCGAGTCTGATGTGGATAGCTTCGTGACGCTGTTAGTGGGCGGAAATGCATCGCAGAGCATCTTTGAGGCAGCTGCAAAGCGCCAAGACATCATTCACTACATGCTGGTCTTGTTGGGAGACATGATTGATGGTAGCAACGCGAACCTCTCTACATCAAAGGTGAAGCTTACACATTTCCAGACATACCTGCACTCACATCGGCTCTCGTCCAACACCCAGCGCCCTACAAGCCTTTCTTACCGCTCTTGAAGGCTTCATCTAACAGCGAAGACCCCGTACCGCTTCTGACGTCTTCCGTTCTGTCCGGCCTTCTGTCGCAGGCTGTCAAGACGTCTTCCAAGAACACACCCCAGCTTGATGAGGCCTTAGCACAGCTCTTCACCTACCTCTCGACACTCGCAAAGGCATCCGACGCCGGTCTGCAGGATATCGCTGTACGGGAATATTCTGCCGTACTTCGCAGCACCAAATCAAGGCGCATATTCTGGAAGCAGAGGAAGGAGACACTTAGCCCTCTGTTTGATATTCTGCGGGCTGCAGCTGGGTCTGCCAAGGATACAGACTCAACCCTGTATAGTGGCGGTGCTAGTATCCGTACAACAGACGGTGGCATCTCTGGTGGTGTCGGTCTCCAGCTTCTGTACCACGTCTTGCTCGTCATCTGGCAGCTTAGCTTTGAGGGCGAGCTCGTAGGCGAAGGACTTCAGGAGTATGTTTACTCTTCTAAATGGCATTTCGCATTTACTAACAGCTTCCAGGGAGCACGACATCGTCATTCTCTACACGCAGCTCCTTAAGGTCTCGCCCAAGGAGAAGACCACTCGTCTTCTTCTTTCCACTCTCCTCAACCTTTTGACTACCAACCGCCAGACTCTTCTTCCAACAGCCGTGCTTGCTCGCCTACCCTCTCTTCTCTCAAGCCTAAAGTCACGACATCTGACCGACGAAGATGCGCTCGAAGATTTACAGGCCTTGAACGAGCTCCTCGACGAGTACACCAAGACACAGACTACCTTTGATGAGTACGCTGCCGAGCTACAGTCGGGTCACCTTCGTTGGTCGCCACCGCATCGCAACCCTACCTTCTGGCGAGACAATGCGCGTCGCATCTTAGAAGAGGACAAGGGCGCACTACCCCGAAAACTTGCGGAGATTCTATCTAAGAGCTGGGAAAACGATAAGCAGGTACTGGCTATTGGGTGCAACGATGTAGCGTGCTTGGTCAAGGAGGTGCCAGAGAAGCGACAACAACTTGAAAAGCTGGGTCTGAAGGGCAGGGTTATGGAGCTGATGCAGGAGGCAGATGAGAGCGTACGGTGGGAGAGCTTGAGGGCAGTTGGCGAGTGGCTGCGGTACAGCTTCGAATCGAAGACCGAGCTTCCAGTCAGGTAATTAGTATTGACTATGGGGACGATTGTGAGCACTGTCAAGCGTGTGAGTGTTTTTCTGTATGTTTTCTCGTCTATACAAGGCCTCTCATAGAATGTCAGGCCCATACAGTACATGCTCAATCATCTCAAAGCTGTTTACATGCTCTTCCCTTCTTCGTGTTTGAGATACAGGTTGTCTGGGACCATGATATGCATGAACCTTTTGTGTACCGAAATGCCATTCATTGAGATTTCCAATGGTTTATGGAACCCGGACTATTGCGCCACTTACCTGTGTAAGTCATACAACTTCATGTGGCGATGTCCTGGGTAATGATATGCAGTATGATGAGTTACATTACGATCAAGAGTAAACAGAATTCGTGGACTACATGAGCCAGTGACATAATGAGCGGCATTCAACTGAACCACTCTAATACTCTATTGACTCTCCATCCCACTATCCAGAATCAGTCGAGTTGCTAGCATGCGGGCCGTCGTTTCTGTTCAGACACCCCAGACCAGGTTTCAACTACGTCAGAGAGATCGGAGTGTAGGTGAAGTGACATTAGGTGCAGGAAGGCAGGATCAACAACATGTTTGACCAAGTATGAAGGACGTTTGTTTCGAAGTAACAAGATCGTTGATGAATGATTTAAGCCGACCATGTGCCGAAAACGGGTGTCAAACACACACTGCTTTGGGATAACTCTTTCTCTTGTCCAGGAGGTTGATGCGGTGAAAAGAGTTGACGGATCAAAAGAAGACATAGAAAACGACATATCTTGTGAGAGTGTAGGGAACCTCAAACTTCTACTTTTCGATATCTATGGCCTTGTGTATAGGCCCAAACATATTACCACTATAAAAACCTCAGGTTGAAAAGCAAGTCCAATCGATATGGTATATTGAAGCTTTCTGTCATTGGAAGAGAGTACAAATCATTATCATCCATAGAAGAATTCAGTTGTTTGCACTCGGTGTCTCCTATCAATATTCTTGCATACTGCCATCCACGCGTTTCTCCGGGACACTGCCTTCATATTTACATCCTTCATATAGAACCAATTACCTAGGCAGTTGAACTGAGGATACCGATCAAACTGGTGATGTAACGGACAAGGCCTTCTGCTCGCTCAGTCCGACGTTCATGCTCACCATGAAGAACCTCGTGTTATTTTTTACTTATATCCCATCAATATCGCGCCCCGAAGGTAAACATGGCATTCCCCTTCATCAATTGATTGAAGATGTAACACTATATCTCTTGAAGATAAGGTTTATGACCTAGAGTACGGCACAATGAGAACGAGCATCTTCGTGAACTGATTACATGCTCCGCATCACAATGTACATATGGTCTTGCTCGCTATCGCTATCCAGTTTCGGCTAAACCAGCAGCCTTCGAAAGCACACGATCTCGGCTCCCCTGCTGAGTTCCGTCAACTGTTCCCTCGTCTCTAATCTCATCGCGACTCCACCATCTCAGCTTCGCGAATATTTGAGATCCGGATGCAGTACCCGCTCCAATAGCAAGCTCGAGCCCATCTGAACCTTCTCCAAGCCAGTCATCTCGGCACCTGCCATGTCCCTCTTCTTTCCGATACCATCACACGTATCCTAGCGTGCTATCCCGTCTCCTCTGACGGTATCTTGCGTGAACGACTGATTAGCAAGAAAAAAAGAGTTTGAGGATCGAACGCTTGCTTCTTTCCCGTATTTAGAGTCTTCGGATTTATATGTGCATAGACGCCAATGCGCACAGCACAAACGCTATTTACCTCCTCATCCGTGACATACTCGGTATTCTCCTAGCCTGAGATATGTTTCCCTTGCGGATCATGCGGAATCTACCGTCCCCAAGTTTGTGAAATCGAAACATGCTAGTATGTTGGTTTTTCTACCAAGATTGGTCATAGGGGTTGGGTTTGTCAACTCAGAAGTGGTCATGACCGAAGCCGAAACGTCCTTTTGTGCTTTTGAGATGATCTTCGTGTGGCTTTTATAATCTCCAGGTAGCGAGTTCGATCTCTGTATGGCCAGGAGATGTCTTCCGCCTCTTCAAAAAGCTTCTATGAAAAGATACTGTATCGCGTTGATTGTCAGAAAGAGGAAATCCACGAAGTTTGGTCGTCAGACGCTGGTTCCGAGTTCTCAATGAAACTATAGTGATCCGCCCACATGCAGGTACAGAGTTTGATTCACGGTCGCGGGTATTCCGTGAACCACTTGAGGGTTATGCTGTATCCTTGGTACCAACAACTCTGGTTCGCGGGACCGATGTGAAACTACCGCAAAATCTGGTAGAATGCAGGTACAGGTCCCGAGTACCAGATTGTAGTATCGATAGAAGCGACCGAGTTTCCGTCACAGCGTCACCCGTGTCGTCTGTGGATTGTATTGTGGGATGCAGTGATGCCTATTGGGTCTACTTTCAGCTTTTACCACATCAACCTTTGGTTCTTCAAATCGGTAGGAAACTATGTATCACCGCTTCTTGCTCGTGTCAAGTACTAGATGGGTGCGCAAGCCTCAAGGCCTTGATCTGTCACTTTTCGGTCTGGGGGCTGGGAACCATTGGCTTGGCAGATGCCATTTCTTTTCTGACAGATCTCTCCGAGGAGGATAAAGTCCGGTTATAGCGAGTCACTATAGATGCCGAGTCAAGCGAGCGAGCAAAAAAAGTGACACCACGTCGAATAATTTCGGATGGGTCGCCCACTCTCACAGTGATTGCTTTTTGCGCCTTTGGTAGTTGCTTCGAAGCCGAAGGGAGATCCGACACTGGCCCAAGAGTTTGTATTGCGGATAAAATTTCCATGAGCCAGGTCGATGCGAAAAGAAGAACAATGATCGTCACGCATCCAAGCCACGTTGGCGTTGACGGCGGTTGTCTCGGTTGCCGCGATGCTTTAGTCATGCTGGTGTAGGTGTTCAAACCCTTTAGGGCCAAGTAGGTGATTTCGCTACCCACCAGTAGCGTTCGCACAAGAGAGAGGTTAGAGGAAGAAAGAACCAACAATAAGATTTGCATGCGTCCAATCGCAGTGGCAGCGGGAATGGTCTGGACGTATGGTCAGCCGGCATATTTCCAGTGGCGTAGGCTGAATTTTCGCAACTTCACCGTGAGAACTACCTACCTAGGCAAGTAAGTAGATCCTTAAGATCCAGGATCCGATTGTTCGTACTGATCGTAGGATCGCAGATCTACCCTGCGATTAGTTACTCAGCTAGAAATTCAGAGTCCGTGGCCGCTATATGGAGACGGCGTTGAATGCCGTTGGCTTGGTCATCTCAAATTCCTTTTCAATCTTTCGGATGCCTGAGTTTAAAGGTGTCGGTCCGAATGCAGTAGCCGCCCATGCGACGCAATGAGGACTGATCCCAGACCACGGGATATGGCCCTAATACCAGACTAGCAGCATGCAATTGTAAAGGCGCTGTGATTCACCTGCATGCATCGTAGGTATCCACTTTGATCAGTGTCTACAACAAACATTCGCATGACAGAAACCCATGCCGACCTATTATGGAGTGCCAGCGACGGGTGATGCGCGATCCATGTGTGAAAAAGTAACAAAAGCGCATGGCAGCCACCCACGTCTCTCGGTTTAGTGTGCAGCGAGCGTGTATGGATGGACCACTTGAAACGGACACGACGATGATAATTGCATTTTCCGATGGTATCGAAAGAGATTGGCTGGATAGGTGAAAAGGGTCAAGACATATTGCACGTCAATACCAGACCTTCAGACTTGGGACCAACTATAACCAAAGCTAAGAAGACCAAAGGGCTAAATTACCCAGATAGCGGGGTCCGTCTTGCTTTACGAGGTACGGTGAACCTTCTTACCGTTTCTGCAGGGGGTCCTGTAAGCCAGCTTACTAAACGCCCATTGTTCTGCGGTCGTTGTATGGACGGCAACAATTGCCGCCCATATGAGAATCCATGTGGCAATCTGTTGAGATTTACGTATGCAGGTCATAGTACAGTACATACGCCGAGGGACCCCAGGGTAACACGCTGATATCCCGTGCCCATAGGAAATCCAGTTCATCATGGCAAAAGTGGATATAGATCGAAAGAGGCATCCGTACTCCGACGCCGTTTAATGTATACGTACATACAGGACAAGACTCCGAAAAACTTTCCACGCGTACGTATGCAACGTAGGCTCTAAGCGAGATGCATTGCCATGTAACCTTTGCTCTCCGCTTCGCAAAAGCAAATGTTGCAGGCAGCGGGAAGGAACGAATCCGCGCCGATCACGTGGCGGCAGCGTGAGATTCGCAGTGGAAAAAGCAATCACATCTACAAGCGGTGATCGTTGGACCGTTGAGACGACCGCGGAGGGCAGACGTAACCGTGCATACTGACCGATGATATGGGCTTGTCAGCGCAGAAGAAAGCATGATAATCATCTTACCCGATATACGTTGAGCCGCAACCTTAGGCCACTTGCACTGCAGCCAGCTTGAAAGCCGCCGGAGTAGATCCGACAGGTGGAAGAAACCCTGCCTGCCTCGAATCTGCCTATTGCCGTCACGGAGTCAAAGCCAAACGACATGAATGAACCGCAACAACAATAACGTCAACCACGTATATGTCTGGGCAATGGGACTGTGCGTCTATAGACTTTTGGTAGCATGGTAGGCTACGCAAGATAACCGAGCCATCGAGTCCCTTTCGCGCGAATCGATGATGCATCGTGGTCTGAGCTCCGTCCAGTGCAGCCGTCCGCTCCCGCACCCGGTCTCTGTTCGACCATGTGTCGCAGAACCCATGAACCATGTCTTTCCTCATGCTTAGACTGTAGGTTAGACGCACGTCGTCATTCACGCAGGTGGTGAATCGACCCCTGGCAGTTGATGGTGCCGATCAGATGCATGCGCAGGAAGCAATTGGGGTACATGGAGCGACATGACACATTCTCACGTTCTGGGGTGCAGATTCCGACACAAAGCCATCTGCTGTTCGACATGTCCATGTCGCTGGCTGCAGACCCTGCCTGATACCAATGT